AAAGGACCAGTTCTCTACAAAGGCACCACAGTCCACAGCAGACAGTTTGTCCTCCAAACGCTGACAGCTCTCCCAGGAACGTCCCGTTAAAATCATGACACGGGGACACGCGAGCTAAATTCAAATGTGTATGCTGGTGATGTAGCAGGGCYAAAAGCAAGAGGTACAGTTGTTGGGCCTGTTGTGTTTGGTTCGTTGAGGCGGTGTGTCACTATAACAGGCCGTTTAATCTATTAAACAAAACTCAATAATTGGCMTGTTTTTACAGCTGGGTGAACGGACCAGAGAAGTACAATCGAATTTGCTATGCCYTAACTGGAATGATTTTCTTTATAATAAAATTTTTAATTTGTTTTTAGCAAATAATATTTACAAGGAAAGAAAAATGCATTCTTTATACGGTAAAAACTAAAACGACAATGTGAACAGTTGTGAAAAAACAGTTCAGTGTTAATACCCAATGTTTTCTTTTTATATCCAAAAATTTCAATCATTCAGAAAAATCAAGAGGTCTTTACATCTCTGAAAGTATCATGATTTTCTTTATTATGTTACCTGAAGACAGAATTTGTAGAGCAACATCTCCAGGTCAACATGTGGAAAAAAAAGAAGAGAAAAACTAATTTTGCAAAACTATTTTAATCTTTGACCCAGTCATATGTTTAGGAACTGATAAGGAAACTGGAAAACATTTTTTTCCCCAACATAGCAACATGCCAGCCCATCTGCTGACAAGATCAAAATCTGTGCTTTTACTCCCGTGTTCTGTTACCTTTGAACATTCTTGACTGCTAGCATTCAGGGCTCTACAGTGCGACCAATTTGGTCGCAAATGCGACCTGATTTCCTAATAGTACGACTAAAAAATGTCCGGTCGCAGTGGTGCGACCACTCCACCGTTCGAGGGTGGAGGGGAAGCGGTCGCCCACTGAAAGTTTCCATGTTCCATAAAAAATAATCCAGCAGTATCAATGGTCGCCCGCCGACAGTCCCCATCTCTCCTAATAACACTGRGCTCTGCTCACGGGCTCCGCTCCACACCTCCCGCACACACACGTTTGTTGTTCTATCCTCACGGGGACTTTGCATTGGCTTCCATTCATTTCCCCGTCAATTCTATAGCCAACCATATCCTCCCAGGTACGCTACACACCTGACCCAAACCCTAACCTCACCTGGCTGTGTGTACCGGGGAAARGTTCAATAAGTGTACCCACCATGAAGCAAAAATCTGTGCGRYCACYCWTAGCAAAACCGTAGTTTTGTTTTTGTTTTTAACCCAGATTGGAGTCTGAAAACCAGTTCTTTCTTGTTAGCTGGAGATGAAAATAAGCTGTGGACGATTGCTCGCTCGTCCATCTTGTTAATTTAACAGTCGGGGTCTGAGCGCTGCAGATCATTCCAGCAGCATGAGGAAGCTCACCTGTATGGCAGGCCYGTTTTGCACTTAATCGACTTCACCACAGTTACATTCCAAGTATCTGAAATTGGTTCTTCTGGGTCTCAGGAGGATAAAACTAGACATATTAGATATTTAAGTGAAATAATATAAGATAATAAGATTCAGCTAATAATGAAATTGCAGACTTTTACGTGTTATTATTTTTTAAAAAAATCTGCAGAACCTTTTAATAAATATCAGTAATATTTCTGTTATTAATCATTATTCTCTGTTCATCATTCTGGTTTATCCAAGGCCAAAGATTCATAGTTGTCCATCTGAGGGGGGTGTGTCTAAAAAAATTTAACCATGAAATGTTWAAGATGTTTATAAGACGTTCAGCTCTTAAACATTTGCACTTAGAATTTTATAGAATCACTTTAAATACTTTTCAGTAAGTTAAATGTCAACAATTCTGGTTCAAATAAAGAACTTTATGTTTACTAGACCGTTAACTAATTATTTTCGAGTTAATATTGCCTTAATSAAAAGTGATTTAAAAAATAACCTGTACAACACTGATGCGACGTGGTTGAAAATTTGGGTGCACCTAACTTTTGTGCTGGTGCACCTAAGACAAAATATTAGGCACACCGGTGCAACCAGTGCAAAACGTTAGTCCAGAGCCCTGGAATTGCTTGATGTTATATTGTTCGACGAATAAAAAAAAAATTAGCAGTTTGAAGCAGCTTGCTAAGAGGAAAAAAAATTAATTTGTGTCACCACGAGGAGACAAACGGGGATTTCACGGGGCCTGTCAATCACTGGGCATGACCTTCAGGGACAACATGTAAACTGGGAATGTGAGGACGACRATGGACACATGCTACCAGAGCAGCCGCCACACTGAAGGGCGGTGTCCGCTTTCTTCCGCTGTGGAAACAGCTGTGTAGACATGCAAAAAAAAAAAAAAAATTGGGTAAGTGAGATGTGCAGCTGTTGTGAGACAAACTGTGGAAAAAGAAGTGCGTGTGGTTATATTAAAGTTTGTGTTAGGCAAACTTAGGAATGTGCGGAAACTTCTCAGTTACGTACTTTATTTTCATTTCCTATTCTTTTGGGTTTCAGTCTCTGCTTTAATAACAAAAAAGCATATTTTTTACAAGCTGTCTTGACAAAGACGGTGGCAAACTTGTTAGTGTCATTATATTTCACCTAACAAAACCACAAATCTGCGAGTACCGTCTGACAACTTATCATGGCTTACTGGAGTTTGCACAACCCACTACTTTTTTATGACCCACACCTGACGACACACTTAAAAGTATTTTTTGAGCACCGCTGTTGTTTTTTTCATCCTYTTAAATTTATTAGAAATTGCAGACTTGTTTGCCATAAACACTGAAATGTCTGTTCTTTTCAAAAGGCGACAGGAAGGAAAAGCCTCATCCCAAATACCCTCATCCCACAGGGCGAACAGACCAAACAATCCCCGTACCGACAGCCAGACAAAGCTCTGCACTGGGAGGACGTTCACCTCGTATGAATGCCATTTTTGGCAMCAGGGTAAAGTTTGGACTGGTGCTATAGAAACACTTGTAAACCTCAGCGAGAACTGGTGCTGTGAAGCTGCGTCTCAGATGTTACATCTRAAACACAGACGGGGGTGTTCCACAGGCAGCCGCGGAGGACTTATTTCTTCGTCCTGAACAGACGAGCACCACCAAAGAAAATGTGAATTTGAGAAATTTGCATAAAAACATGAACAGGTTTTGTGATTTGTTAAAATTACCAGACCTTTTATTAACCATCCCTATGGCCTTTTGGTGGTAAAATTTTTTTTTTTCCCCAAGTAAGATTGACAAAGCAACTTTTTGGAGTAATAGTTTTTAATTATTTTTTTTTAATTAAGCTCGTCTTCAAAAAAAAAAAAAACTACAGGGTGAAAACGATATTCTGTATCAGAGAATTTAAAAKTCACTACACAACAAAGCGATATGTGTTTTTGTCTTTTAAGGGAAATGTGTGCAAATGGGAGCCAATCAAGTGGATACATAAAATATTTGCCTAATAATGCTTGCTTAAACCAAATCAGCAACACATTATTAAAACGAGGAAAAAATAAAGTGTATATTTAATTTTAAGCTTTAATGAGACGTGGATTTAAATTTCGCCATGTTTTTCCTCAGGCTAAAATTTGGGTTCTGGTCAAAAATAGCACTTATGTTCAAATCTAATTAAAATTTGCTTGGTTTGTTTAAAAGAAAAATAAAACTTATAGCTGCCTGTAAAGGACAAACATGTCTGCCTTAAGTGTGTTGTTTATCAGAGATGCAGACAACCTGGAAATCTTTTCGGACCGGTTTAGCAACTACATACTAACAGAGCCAACTGATCCAGACACGCAACCGAAACCACAAAGTATGCGCGGCTGTTCACCTCTGCTACCCGGAGCAATCGCCATGTGATTAAASCAAAGCAGTAACACTAGTGCAGGTCAACGCTACACACAATAAGGGGAATGTGGGGTGGGGGGCAATCTGATGGTGATTGTGGCGCTCTCTAGTGTCCCCAGCTCACTTACAGAAAACAACTGTTTCACCCTCGTGATACGTATTAATAAAAACGGCACATTTAAGCCTAATGTGTGAGTCAAGAAGTGTAGTGAAATCAGGGGGAGTACCGCCGACATAAAAAGGGGCGAAGCAATTTTGCAATCTTGACTGACCGAAACAAAAGGTACAAAAAATGAGGGAGGGAGGGGGAAGAAATGACGACTTCTTTAGGAATGGAGCCGAACTTGAAGACAAGCGTTTAGCTTAGCTAAGAAAGGTGAAAAGGACAACGGAAAAAGTTGAAACAATCTCGGTGAAGAAGTCACCCTCCCCTCCCTCCTCTACGCAGCACCTCGCTGGTGGCCATTGCTTGGGCAACAAGCAGCCACATTCCTCCGTGCTGTTCGACTCGGCCGCTGGGGGTAACTACTAACTACGACTCCCCTCGGCAAATAACACGAACAAAGACAAAAAAAATAAGGTGTCGAGCAACGACGAAGGAGATATTTGAGACGAATAACCTCGGAGCAAAGCGCCGTGGAGACTTTTCGGAGGCCCGCTGGCCACCCCGTCTGAATGCTTGTTAAAGAGTTCAGCGAAACCGCAAAAGTCGCTAGCCTGAAATGTGGCTAACTCGAGCTAAACTACGGTGGAACATGTGGAAACGGGCCCTGGCTAAAATAACACAGCTTCCTTACACTAATGGGAGCTCACGACGCTTGTTTTGAAACACTTCTCGTCAACAAAAACACGTAATTTGCCCCCTTTTTAGCAACTCCGAGAAAGTTTTTACTTCGTCAAACTCCGCGTGCACTCCGAACCGTAACTAAACACGGTCTAAAACAACGTAGAAATGTTTAGTTTGGAACGGTACCGTGTTATKTATTAGTAATTTTACATATGTTTCATATATGGTCTAAAGTATTGGGGGTAACCATTACAAGTAGTCCGTCTGACTTCCTCTGCAGCAGGGGTGAAAGACCCAGCAGAGCACAACCAAGATCGTACTGCGCCGTGGTCACGGCTCTCCCTCCCTCCTCCATCAGCGTCTAAACCCAACTTACCTTCGTCCAGAAGCCTCTCCAAGTGTGTGAAGATGCCGCAGAGATTTGGCAAACTCGTCATGAGCTTCTTCTCGTTTAATAACTGCATCAAATAGTCGGGACTCGGCCTCGGTCGCTCCTTCACTTCGACCTCTCCGACCATCATCTTTGCGGCGAGAGCGGAGAACAAACCACCGTGGAAAGAATAAAAACACAAAATCCCCTTTGTGCGAAAGAGAGAAAAAACAGAAAAAAAACTTGCTGCTCCAATCCCTCGCTGCCCTCCTCCTTGAAAGCAGAACACTCTAAGCCCCTCTTAGATTCAGGTTTGTTTGGTTCTTGTTATTTCAGTGGGAGAGGGGGGGGCAAAAAAGAAAACCGTTATGTCCCTTCCACAGACTCGCGCGCCGTACTCTCCTTTACGCCGTGTGCGCTGGGGGACGTTCGATTCCACCACTGTAGGCGCGAGAGAGTGGGTCCTCCAGCTAGGCCCCGCCTCCCTAAAGCCTATTGGCTAAGCACTCGTTCTGGACCGATTTCTAAACAAATGAGCGCGTGTATCCAAAGTGAAGTGGGCCGGGCGGCACCGTGAGTTGGGTGATTGACGGGATTTCTGACCAATGGTGGGGAGCGTGCAGGAATGCACATAAAATGCCCCCAAAGTGTTGTCAACACAAAATAGCAAAAATTCTTCCTTTCTCCCTTCCGTCATTAGGAGACACAGGCAGATTTCTGTACGTGCAGGAGCTCAAGAAGACAGATGGCCACTCGCCTTAACTTGTAAACGACTGTCCAAGTAAATGACAGGAGGAGGTGTAAACTTGGAAATGTTTACTGGATAGATAAATTAAAGGGACAAAAATAATGAGAGAGAAAGGTAAACTGGCCAAATGATATTTAAAAATGCTTTTTTTTCCAATTGAAGATCTTGTAGATGACTAAAAAATATAATGAATGCAAATAATTTGTAACACTATTCAGTCATTGTGTGAAATACTCTTGTTTAATTAATCCCTCCTCTGTTCTGATAACGATTGCACTTCTAAAAAAAAGTTGTTTTTCACCCTTAATGTTGCGAAAGAGATCAGTACATTCTCCATGTTGCCAATCCAGTAACAAGACAACATTCCAGTGGTTATGTAAAAGCACGGAGGCCTCACTATTTCCATTTTCTTTTTCTAAATTTTCAGTGTCTTGTATTATTTTATGTGTTGGTAGTGTTGTAATCTGATATTCATTTCTTTATTCATTTCCTGAAAAACAACATAAATTCAACAACAAAAATACGAGTCATAAATTAAATGAAAGATAGCAGAAGAAAAAAATCTTATTATATCTGCCCCTTTTTCTCAAATAAATTCAATCAAAATAATCGACAGTTTACAAAAAAAGAAATAACTATACGATATAATGATATAAACTAGTGGGGTGGTTTGAATTGTCAAACGTGGGTTGAATGTGTGTTCAGTCCTGAGCTTCATATAGAGGACTTGTGTGTGACAGACGTATACTTGCCAAAACCAGCACACTAATTGGACTTATTGTGCATTTTGCGTGAAATTTTATTTTAAGGTGCTGAAATAAACACWGTTTCTTCCTTACAAGATCACCATTGTTACTCAAGACTTGTACATCTTGTTATCTGTGTGTAGAGCAACTGATCAATCCTGCAGTAATCAATGGTCTTTTCATTGGCCTGTCCTTGGACAGACCTTTCTACATATCCTCCGTGGATTACCATACTGTACGTGATCAACGCCACACACAAAACCAGCTACACCCAGTTATTCATGCCCTGCTCTGATAAGCCACAAGTGGTCCATTCTGACTTTAACACCTGTTGGATAAGAGGCACCAGGCTAAATCGGAGCCCTGACCTTGGKCGCATTTCTGTTTGTCCTCGCAGCCACTCAAGTCTTTGTAAGAATTGTTCTCACATGGCTGCCCGAGCGCTCAAATAGCTGCGCCGGAACTTTCCTCGTGTTGTTAAAAGAGAAGTAAACTAATACTACGTGTGTCCAAGTCTCCAAATTTCTCCTTCTGTTCTCAAACTGGAGTTTGAACTGAGCATTTTGTCTTATGGTTTAAAATACAAATGTTTCAGACTATCAGAGATATYCATTTTTTTAAGACCCAAGAACAAAAGGAAACTATAAAACCCATTACCCCAGACCGCTGCAGCAGAAGAGGCAAACTGCTAAAACAAAAGGAATGCTGCTC